TTTATGTTAAATATGCATGCATTCAATTTTTTTGCACCGTCAAAATGGGTCGCGCCAACGTTGGACGCATGTGCCGATCCAAACATGGAAGCGGACGTTCGTGTCCGCATGGCCGACCCAAACGGACAAAAAGCAGACAAAATCGCCGTCCGTTTGGATCGGCCCGTTGGTGTTGCTCTTACTTTATACTTTTGTGTTGAAGAGGTGATGGACTAAACCGCAACATGCATGTGGGGCAAAGAAAAACGCATGGCTGACAATGTGGTGGAACAGGTTGATTGGATAGCCTCCTAGAGAGTAAATGGCATAAAACTACTACTTTACATGTTAGGGTTTCAAAAAACTATTGGTTTTTAATTTTCTCAGATAACTACCAAGTAGGTGGTCGGCTATTTCAAAAAACTCCAAATGACCGTTGTTCAAAAATTAAATATGTTTATGACAGGTCGGGCCCGCACCTAAACAATTTGTCTGTTTAACCGCGTGTTTGACCGTTAACTAACATATGAGGCCCACATGTCAGTGTCTCTTTCCATTTTCCTCTCCTCTCTAGCACTCTTCTTCTCCTCTCTCTCCCTACGCCAAAGCACACCAGAGACCATGGCCGCCGGCCACATGCTGGCCCACGCCGCCGCGCAAAGCCACGTCCGTTGCCTCCTTCCGCACTGAGGCCGGCCATGCCGCCACCACCACCAGGCAGAGCCGCTGGAACGAGAACGTCGACCCTGCCTCCGCGCGAGGCCGGACACGCCGCCACCACCTCCAATCGGCGCCGCTGGATAGAGCACGCCGAGCCCCGCCTCCAATCGGTACCTGACCTTGAGCATCTACACCACGGGGAAGAAGAGCACGTTCTCGTACACCCCGGCGGAGACCACGCAGCACACGCGGCGCACGTCGCCGCGCACCTTGGACGCTAGGTTGTCCAGCTCCGGCATGTACCCCATGGGGAACCGGAGGAACCCGTACGGGATCTCCGCGTCCTCCGGCAGCCGCGGGTCCTCCTCCTACTTCCCGCCCGAGTACACGCCCGTGTAGTTGAACTCCTCGTCCGGCCCGTCGTCGAACGGGTCGAGCCACGGGTAGTCGATGGAAGGAGCTCCGCGGTGGCCCGCGACGACGAGCGGCGAAAGGAAGATCCGGGACGGCGCTGGAAGGAAGCTCTGCGGCTGTGCGCGCTGTACGACGAAGGGCGGCGGAAAGGAGCTCCGCGGTGGCACCCTGGCTGCTGGTCGGCGAGCTCCACACACAGCTGATGGCCGGCGAGCACGGCTGCGGGAGCCCGCTCCTCTCGATTTGGAGCACAGCCACGTGAAGGACCCGATTGCCTTTTTTAATTTGTTTGCAGGGACCTGATTGCTTTTCTAAAATATTTACAGGGTCCTAATTGTTTTTTCTAGAATTATTAGATTATGATGAAGAAACACTGACATGTGGGACCCACATGTCAGTTAATGGTCAAACAAACGGTCAAACAGACGGTTCGTTTAGGTGCGGGCCTGACCTATCATAAACAGGTTTAATTTTTAAACAGCGGGCATTTAGTTTTTTTGAAACAGATGGCCGAGCGTTTGGTCGTTTTCTGAGAAAAAATAAAAATCGATAATTTTTTGCAACCCAGCCTGTAAAGTACTCGCTCCGTTCCAATTTACTCATCGTGGTTTTAGTTCAAATCATGACGAGTAAATCGAAACGAAGGGAGTTGTGGTTTTACGCTATTTACTCCCTCCTAGATGAACGGCACATATATAGGTTGTGCGCACAAGCAGTTACGAAAAAATTGCCTCGCTCGTGAAGGTTCTCAAAACACATCGCGGGGTGAGCCGCCGCCGCAACAGCTTGACACAATGGCTCGGTACAAGGCAGTAGCTGCCGACGCAACCTCCTAATCCAGATCTAGAGCAATGGAGAGGAACGAGATGAGGCCGATCAGGCAAACGGAGTTGTGGGGTTCGGCGACGAAGAAGCGAAGGCCCGACGAGAAGGAGGTGGCAGAGCCGCAGAGGATGCTAGATCCAAGGAGGAGCTGCAGACGAGGAGGAAGAAGAAGATGTGCTCGAGGGGATTCAGATTCGAAAATTGGATTCGTCGCTTGTTTCTCTCATGCAAGCCCAACTGGAGGAAGGCGATGGGGGTGGCCGCCGCGTCCAGGACGCCGATGAAGAAGAAGGCGACGTCCGCGTCGAAGATGACGATGAGGAAGAAGGCGACGACCCCGAGCCCCAAACCTAGCGAGGTGGAGGCGACGAGCCCGAGCACCAAACCTAGCGAGACGAAGGCGACGTTGGCGGACGCCGGATTAGATGAGAAGGGCAGCAAGAACATGGGCATGGCATGGGGCGGAGAGAGAATGAGGAAGCTGGTGGCGGACGCCGAATGGAAAAAGAAGGGCAACAGTTTCAGTGTGTGGGGCGGAGAGTCGATGAGGAGGATGGCCGGCTGAGAGAGAACGACGAAGACGGAGACGTGGAGGTTTAGCTCAAGATACCTCGTGTTCATGAGGAACAATCTCCCTTCCCCGCCCGTCGAGGACTCCTTTGACAGCAACCCCTTCCTCCGCATGATTCGAGAAAAAGACGCCGTTCATTACAAGGCTAGGCTCGAGTTCTACGACTACGTCTTCAGCCAGTACGACGTCAGAAAAGGCTACTCGGAGTTCCAAGTGGAGGTCGCAGACGACGGGCAACCAATGGTGCCGGCCAAGTTTCGTTTAGACAAGGAAGACAACATTGTCTAGGGTAGAATCGGTTTCTGTAATTCTGTTTGCAGGAAGCAAGGATGGTTGCCTTGCCGTGGTAAAATGAGGTAAGGCCAGTTTGATAACAGCAATGTAAGTGAACTTGTGTGAGAGAGAGATCCAGCTTCATTAAGTTGTACTAGTATCTTGCTACTGATGTTATCGGGTCATTTTTGCCTATCAAACCCATGGACAAATCCAATAAGGCAAATATTGGTCCGAATCGGAACAAATCAACCGGGACACACACACACAGGAAATTTCAATAAGGCAAATATTGGTCCGAATTGTGAGAGTAAAACTCTGTCAGATTTGCCATATCCGCCTTTCCACCATAATAACCACCAGTATGGAGATCAGAGAGGCAAAAATCCATTCTAGCAAATTCACCATAGCTCCCTCGGTCTCCCTAATTTTTTAAGGGGGGCCTAAAAAAGGGGTGCAACCTTCATATTTGGTGCTTGTGGGAGCTGTTTTGGAGTGCACTCCAACCCCAACTGTTGTTTAATGCACTGGATGCTGTATGAAATTGTTTAATATCTGAAGTTTAATAAGGAGTAATAAGAATGCAACTTTGATATTTGTTAACACTGGAGTAAACTAGGTTAGTGCACTGCCTTTGTTTAATGTCTGTAAATTGTAGATGCGTGGATGTTGTATGAAATTTCTGAAACTTCAAACCTCTGCACGGAATAAAACCTGCCTCAAGTAAATGCTCTATAGGGCTTTTCCCCTCTTACAGTAAATATCATGGTTGAATCTGGTGAAACTTTATGCACATTATTCATAGTCGAATCCTTATTAATAACCCTCAGATCATTTATAACTGAGACGAAAGTACCATGGAGAGTGAACCGAATCCTGATCAGTTTGCATGTGACAGTTAGTTACACTGGTAGTCCAGTACCACAGTACATGGTACAAGTCCTGAAGTCTTTCACCTTTTAAACAGAATTCAGGACACAGCACAATGGGCATGCAGCTGCGACAGAAAAATATGCTGCTGCTATTCTAGCACTGAAGGCTACAACTATCTTCTTCCCAGGTGGGCTGGCTATAAATAAACTTGACCAGAGCCCTAGAACAAGCAGCAACTCCACAGCTCCAGTGCAGGGTAGCATCTGAATAGACAGTTCTGTTTCAGCCAGTTCTTTTCTGGAGAGGTGCTTGTCAGGCACTGAAAGTGAGAGTTGGAGGAAAACAAACAGATCCTGGCTAGCTAATCGCGGTCGCCGATCAGCTTGTTTTCCTCCAATATCTCACCTTCAGTTGACTGATTGCCTGGCGTTGGCGTTTGCAGCCTAGTGACAAGGAACAGATTGGGTTACAACTAGGAACATGCATGCACCGCTCAAAGCGAGGATTAGAGGGAACTGAACCATGAACAATCCATTGGAAACATGAGTGATGGTTCAGTTTCTTCTAATATCTCACCTTGACTGGTCCACTGTGCAGACACCCAAGGTGAGAACTGGAACTGAGGCAGATAGATATATAGACTGGAGCAATAAGTTCCTCAAAAACAAGAACAGATTTCTTCCGTCACAAAGCATGAAGAAAACACACCTCTAAAAGTGCATTTCACAAAATCACACTTATGTGACAGAATATTTCCAGACCACACTTTTGTCACTCGCAATATGGTTTGTAAATACTTTCTTTAAGTGTGGGATTTTTTTATAGTTTTGGAAAAGAAGGCGTGGTTTTGAGAAATTTACTCAATAAACTGTCTTATAGTCTAGTTTGTTTTTCTTCCAACATTTTACCTTGGTCGAAGTGCTTGACCCTGAGTAGCTGACTGGTAACTGTTGGTGAAGCAAAGGCTAAAGCGCCAGCCTCTTGTGATCCCTCGCCTCCAACCGATGCAGGCCTGTCAAAGCTTAAAACATGGACCCTATCCTCCACTCTAGGAAGGGCAGTCAATTCAATAGGCAGTGGTGGATAAAACAAAAGGCAAGAAAAATTTAGACAGCGTTGTTCGATCGATGTTCTTTAGAATTTGCATGATGCTCTAGGAAGTCAAATGACGTTTGTATAATATTCAATGTTTCACTGTGTTCATTCTACTAGCGATCAGTATAAGAAGATAAGAAAAGGCACTCTGATTCAGTGAGTACTAACTGTTGGACCCTCAAGCTACAATTGCTTAATTTGAATCTCAACTATAGCTAACCTGTGGAAATAAAGAAACTTGTACAGTCACCAAAAACTAGCCATGGAGAGTTTCAAATGACAGAAACAGGGCTACTGATTTTGGTTGTGACTAGTACATGCCAATTTTGTGAACACCTGGTGGCATTTCGTCAATCGTGTGATATGCGTCCTCAGAGCTACTGATCTCAGACCACTCATCAGAAGAACAGTCACTTGGTGTTTCTTCTTTTTCACAATGCTCATTCTCTCCTGATGCACTCTCACTTGATGTTTCTTCCTCTTCCACACTCTCATTCTTCAATGCTGCATTCTCTAATTGAAGAACCGAAGGGAATGCCTTGTGCACATTATCCTGTATGCTGTCATCATGGTCTTTCCCCCACCAAACAATACATTGCTCCATGTCAAAAGACACAAGAATACAAGGAACAAGGTCCTACAGCAAAAAAGGAGAGAGAAATGCATTCTGTTACAGTTAATCTTCAGGGAAAATGAACATTTAACTATTTTGGCATAAGGCTATATGAGAGACTCGCCCTGAGCTTGACTCCAATCTTCCGATAATCACTTTTTGGCAATCCTTTACAATCTATACGAACCAATTCATCAGCCAGAAAACCATCTCGAACCATCGGCACGAAGCTAGCATAATATACATTCTTTGCTGTGAAATGGGCATGGTTGGTTAGACACACCGCGGACCGCCAGCACGATCGAGGAGCTCGAGCTCCACTATGCATTCACGCAGTCGCGCCTGGAGGCCTCCCGTGAGGCCGCTAGGCCGCAGACGAGTCACTGGACTCTGACTAGACGCCAGGACTCTGAAGGTCACCATAGTTCACCAGACATTGCCTATAAATCTGTCTAGTAC